GCACTCATCTGCCATCACAATGTTTTTAGGACTGTACATCATCTAATACATAAAACAAATCTGTTCGATAATATACTCAGTAGTGACACTGTTAGATACATGGGTATCATCAAATCATGAACCCATCGGCTTAAACAATAAATCAACATTTGCCGGTACATGAAAAATAAATCACTAAAAATACTGTATTAATCATTAGGCACGTTTACTATAGATTAACCTTCGAGACATGTGAAATAATCACAGCAATATAATATATAATAACACTATCGACAGACTTGTAGATCTTTATAATACTCGCTGCTATATGCCAATGGGCGCAGCCATATTTGATTATGTTTTAAGATGACCTTTGACATGAGCGTGAAACAATCAAAGAGAACTGACATGCCCGTTCCACAGCAGGATGCAGGCTAAGACAATGTATGCCGTACAATACATATAACTCAAATAACATTAAACTGCATAAATCAATCTTACTCCTGCTATGTCATAACTTAGGTTAAATTGGGCAGTTGTTACCAACTTACCACTACAACTAATACTTTAGCATAGTAAATTTAAATACCTAATACTGTAACTTGTTTACACCAAAGGATCAAGAACAAGCAGTTAGAACAAAGGAATATACAACACAGTTGTATCCTTGTTAAACTTCACCTTACTTAGGCTGTATTCATATAACAAGAGACTTTCAATGCATTAAAGGCAGTAATTAATACACTAAGTAACTAATCTTATAACACTATAAATATAAAAGGTAAAATAAAACATACCATAAATGTACTTGAATCACATAATAAGTGAGTGGTCAAACACACGTCTGATCCCGATCACATTCAGGAGGCCACTGATTCGCGCTAATTTTTTAGACGCTACTGACCCACGCTATCATTATGTAATGAGTGACGACATACAAATTTCTGCCCTCTATAATGGGTTAAGAAACCTTTTACACCGTTAATCATATATAGTAATAACAATTATACTGTACATACATATCAGATTCAGATAATTTATTGTCAAAGTGTACATGAAAATCTATAAATTTATTAGGTTGTATACAGATTAAAATTCATGATAAATGAAAAAAAAAAGCCAAACTTAACTACCTAAATCATATACAGTATATTCCTTTTTATGATGATGAAATAATAAAATGCTTAAAAACCCCCTTTTAAATATATCCCTGTCCCACTACTTTGAGTCAGATTAGTATAAGAGAAAAATTAAATATATACCAAAATAATCAATCTGACTCAGTGCATCTTATTCATTTAATGGATGCCCATAGGTGTATTTATAATATACACTCTGTTGTGTGCTTGTTAGGTTTTTTTTATACAGAAAGACCAGAAAAAATATACAGGTACTAAAGAAAGAATAAACAAACTTGCAAATATCAAAATTTATGAAAATCAAAGAAATACAAGTTAATATCAGGGGCGTACCGTGGGGGGGGGTCGATGGGTGCTGTCGACCCCCCATTTTAAAGAAAGTGCCCTTTAAATATGCTTGCTTCACTCACAAATAACGCACCCCGCGAATTCTGAAAGCTTCGCTAAATTGCTCCGAGTTCAGCTTGCCCCCTGCGCTTTCGTTTTGACCCCCCCCCTTAGATTTTTCACCGTACGCCCCTGGATAGGCTGTACAAAAAAGCCCCAATAGATTGAAAAGTAAATTTTTAACATCAATATGCAAGAAAGTAACATGTATATGCATTATATGATTAAAAACTTACACTACAAAAATATAAAATCATAAGACCAATAGTGTGTGATTCAAATTTGATGAGAACTACACTATAAACAGTTGAGGTTGGCAGATTACAGTATTAATGTTTTCAGTTTAATAACTTCAACTCTATAGATATCATTTATGTAGAATAATTAATATTTTAACAGTTAAAAAAAAAAACGTAACTTCAGCTCCATGTATATCATATTCAATAATCAAATATTTCAGCAAGTTTATAAACATTATGCCAACTTTATATTTTGATATTATTGTATTCAATAATTTTTTTAAGTTTAAGATTCATAACTTAACTCTATGTGGATGATATGAAATAATGGATATGTAGATATTCCTACACTTATAAATTTGAATTGTTGAAAACACACAAGTGAAGCAAGTGGACTGTCAATATTTAATAATTGAATATTTTTACTGTTTTGTCACCATCATTTGCTACTGCAAGTCTCCTTGGATGATATAAAATGATGGATAATCCCCATGGATTGTTGATTCTATCTTCTGGTTTATCAATTCTTTTTATGAAAGTTCCATCACTACTGAATAGCTGTAGTTTGTGTTGACTTGATATAATGATGTTTTCATCCTCATCAACTACTACTGCTCTTGGATATTTTACCTTACCATCCTCATCACCTGCTTCAACAAGGACTTTTATAAACCTTCCCTCATTATTAAATAATTTTAATCTACTGTTGCCATACTCCAATACAAGAAGGTGTCCTTGGTTAGTAAGAGTAACATCAGTGACATTTCTCATTTGACCTTCTTTTGTACCTCTTAACCCTATTGTTTTGATGGTCTTGCCATTATTCATGTCAAACATGTACACACAGCCACTGGACCAACCTCCTGCTGCTGCATACAAAACATTTGATGTCTCATCCACATGAATGCTCCGTGGTGTATTCTGTACTCCCTCACTAATTGTTTTAATCAGCTGACCATTCATATTGCATATTCTGATAGGTGTATTATCATTGCAATCACTGAATGCTATGTTACCATTCTTCATTTTGTACATTCTGTTAACTAGCACACCTTGTGGTCTGTCTCTTATACACATCTAGATGTGTATAAGAGACAGGGTTCAATAGTGTGTGATTCAAATTTGATGAGAACTACATTGTAAACAACTGAGGTTTGCAGATTATTGTAATTTGTTTAACAGGTTTATAATCATTATGCCAACTTTAGTATTCAATAATTATTTTAAGTTTAAGATCCATAACTTAACTCTATGTGGATGATATGAAATAATGGATATGTAGATATTCCTACACTTATAAATTTGAATTGTTGAAAACACACAAGTGAAGCAAGTGGACTGTCAGTATTTAATAATTGAATATTTTTACTGTTTTGTCACCAGTATTTGCTACTGCAAGTCTCCTTGGATGATATGAAATGATGGATAATCCCTCTGGATCGTTGATTCTATCTTCTGGTTTATCAATTCTTTTTATGAAATTTCCATCACTACTGAATAGCTGTAGTTTTTGGTCACTTGATATAATGATGTTGTCATCCTCATCAACTACTACTGCATTTGGAGAATTTACCTTACCATCCTCATCACCTGCTTCAACAAGGAGTTTTATAAACCTTCCCTCATTATTAAATAATTGTAATCTACTGTTGTCATACTCCAATACAAGAAGGTGTCCTTGGTTAGTAAGAGTAACATCAATGACATTACTCATTTGACCTTCTTTTGTACCATATGACCCTATTGTTCTGATGGTCTTGCCATTATTCATGTCAAACATGTGCACACAGCTTCTGAACCAAACTCCTGCATACAAAACATTTGATGTCTCATCCACATGAATGCTCCGTGGTGTATTCTTTGCTTCCACACTAATTGTTTTAATCAGCTGACCATTCATATTGCATATTCTGATAGGTTTATTATTCCAATCACTGAATGCTATGTTACCATTCTTCATTTTGTACATTCTGTTAACTTCCACACCTTGTGGTAGTGTAACCTTACCAATATATTCTCCTGATTGCTTGTACTTGAGCATTTCATTTGTCCAACATGAAACCAGTAAGGAGTCATCTTCACACTTAACTACATCTCTAATACTTGTTGCATTTATTTGAATAGTATTTACTAATCTGTCTTCTACTTTGATTGTCATTGGTGATTGGTTAATTGGTTCATCATCAGCACTCACATTTAGTTTACAAACTCCTGGACTTGTACATTTTCCTGTCACAAAATAATCTCCATTGTCATCTTCCTGAATTTGAGAGATGTTGGTTTCCCCTGTAGGCTGTGTCCATGTTGCCTTCAGTTGATTTGCATATATTTCATGTTCATCTGTTTTGACTATTTTGACTATAATTGTCTGATCTTTGATCACAGATTCCTCTCCTTCTA